ACCCTTCTATGGAATGGATGGCTCAGATCTCTCATCCCACAAGTCACCATTGATTGACGGTTTATGTTCAATTTCACAAGAAGAGACAAGCTAAAGAAAACCCTAAGAAACCTTAATCTTATTGAATCCTGTAAAAAGGGATTGTCTCTACCCAAAAATCTCTACATCTTATCTCTTGTACCTAATTCTCATCTTTCTCTCTCATATCCCAAAAAGGGGGCACGCACCACTCTCTCATGTTTGATTGCTCTCTCACATTGTGAAAGAACCTAAGGGTTTAGGTTATGGAGTTCTTCTCTCCTATATCTTAAATATGAAATTACAACTAAGGGTTTTAGGGTTTAGCAAAAAGAGAATCCATCTCTCTCAAACTAGGTTGCTAAGAGAATTCATATAGGGTTTGAGTATGTGATCAACGGGGTTCATGTTTCATTGCTGTGGCTGGGGCGAAATTTGCTTTCTCGGTTCGAGATTAAAGCTAGACTGTTGATCCCACGCCATCGGATGGTGGTGACTCGGTGTGGGATGTAATAAGCCTGGTTGAGGTAATCTCCGGCACTTTTTTTTTTTCTTGCAATCTTATATTTTATTTTCAAGCATAGTACATAATTGTTTCAATGGCATCAAGTTGTTTAGATATTGGTTTTATTGTTATGTTGATTTTATTTTGAAATTTATCTTATTATAATAAATACCACCTGTAAGGGATCTTTTGCCAAAAAAAAGGGGTAAAAAAATAAAATAAAATAAAAATGTATTACGTGGTAAAAGATTACATAGGTCTTTCTTTCACATTCCACAAATTTCATTGTTCAATGTAAAAAGTAAAGTGACTCAATGGCCACTGAAAGGAAATTTTATCAAACTTAGTGACACACCCTTAGCCGTCAGATTTCACATAAAAGAGATAGATGATTGTGATCTTCTTGCACTGAAAAATGGCGATACCATATTATTGAGTTATGTCTTTGACATCTAAACGGTCCCGAACATAATATTTAGACCTTAACATCTAAAACCACTGATATCAGGATTGCACCAGTGCCTCAACTGGTCAAGGGGTTGGTCCAATGAAAATCAGTCCAATCGTCGACATGCCAAACTTTTTCAATATAAAAAGTTTAGAAAATTTACCAAAATTTTTAAAAATTCATTTAGAATTAGAAAAATGCAAGGTAACAAATGAAAAAAATAGTGGAATAAGTTCTTTTTCAAAAAACATTATAGCAAAATTTTTTAAACTAACTTGAATAATTAAACATTTCATTTTAAAGTTTTATATAAAATATTGTAAATAATTAAGCATTGCATTTTATTTAATTAAACATCATATTTTATTTAACTATAACGTTAACTACTTAAATATATTTTTCTAAACATTTACCTAGGGAATCTGCACAAACACCAGGGGGTGGAGAGAGAGAGTACAATAAAAAAAGTTATTTTTTTTACAATTTTGACTTTTTTTAATTAATATATAGTTTCTTTAATATCACAATTTTTTACATGAAAAAAAAAAGAAGAATGAAAGAACGTAATCTTGTAAAAAATTTGTGATAAATTTGAAAAAGAGATGGAATTTAAGCTCAGCTTTCCATACGGGTTGATCTAGTAGAACCGGCATAACTAGCAATTGAAATAATTCAACCGGTCAAATGCCGATTTTGAGCATCGATGTAAATCCCGGTTCAGTACTTGCATCAAACCGGGCAAAGTTTCGGTCGCCTGTTCTTCTAGTCGGATTTTAAAAAATTTGTTGAATAAGTTTTTAAGCTCAGACTCACTTATTACACTATCTAATAGCATTCCTTTACATCAGGTTAATATGACACTATCTAATGGATCTAGTACTGTTTTGCAAAATAATATTGTCATGATCTAAGGAAGTTTACAACTACAAGCTAACTACAAAAAAAAGTATTGTATTTGATTTGTTCACTTTTGATTTATTTGATCCACCACTTCATAACACGAAGTCACCACCCATATTAAATCTCATCAATAGAAATATTACGTGAACAGGAAAAGGTCAAATCCAAACAAAATGAAAAGGGTAAAAGGACAAAAAGAAAAAGAAAAAGTAAAAGAGGAGAAAATAAGTCCTGCCTCTGATTTGGAATACGTATAAAAATGGTGCTTCCAATGTGGATCCTTCCTAAAATATTACTTGGGAAGTGATTGCACGTCCCCAGTTCCTATCTAGAATAGCATTAAACAATTAATGAGCACATATACTATGCTGCTGTATTTGCTCAGAACACTTATTTAAGTTAAGTTTTTTAATCTCAAATTTTGGGAACCACATAATAATTACTAGATGGATATTTCTTAAATAAAAATTTTTAATTTTGCGGATTGTGACACTTAGATCTGGCTCTTCGAAAATTATATAGTCTCTATTCAATCTTAAGGCGTAAGTTTTTTTTTCTAGTACATATGAGTTTATTTTGGAAATAATTTTTTATGAAATTATTCTATGGGATGTCGAAGTTATATCCCAGAAATTTGAGATCCAAAAAGTATCCTTAGCATGTACTTTGCCCGAGGGAGTATATAGATAGTATACTCTGACATGAGTAGAAAATCTTTTGGCATAACTAATAGCATGCAATAAATAACAATTTGTTTTCAATGACTATCCTAGGCAAGTGAAATTGCCTTTTTTGGTGTACCCTATGAGATTAAGAAGAGAAATAAAAGAACAAAACCAATGAGGAAAAAATAAGGTATGTTTTGTACTTGCATAATCTTATCTTTACCCTTTTTGACTACTAGATATCAACCAACATTCTCTTTCATGGTTAATGCTGTGGAAAAATGATACTGCATAATTGCACATGGGGTAAAGAAGGATTTTGATCAATTTCTATAACAAAGGGGCAAACATGAACACATATTAAGTGTCCTAATCTGGCACACCTAATCCAACTAAACAAATTGAGATTAAATAATTAAGAGAACTGTTGGTTGGTTGACATTTTCTATTTTATAGCAACAATGACAGGGTTACGGTCTCTTCTAAGTTGATCCTCAAGGTAGTTGCATATAAATGGTGATAGAGAAAAGGGTGAGCCTTGTATAAGGCTGAGGCCCTAAACAATAAAAAAAAAGGCGCACATCTAAAGTATTTAAAGATGATTTTTTAGTGGCAAAAATCTTTGTGATGGCCTAAAAATTTATTTTTCATCTCTAACTATAAAATTCAAAGTTTCAAAAATAGTATAGGTCGAAAAAATCTAAAAACACTTGAAAATATTGAAAATTGACGGCCTAGATAATGCATTACAAAATGCACTATCTTTCAAACTTGAAATCTATTTTTTTTCACATCTATACATCTCGAGATTGAGATGATTGATTTAAGGGTTTTTCAACATTGATGCAATCTCTTCTAGTGAATTCTTTAGGTGCGTCTTAATTTGATTATTTGGGGCCTCGATCTTATATAAACTTTTCCCTAAAGAAAATGAATGAGAATCATGTAGATGATGATGTTGGTTTTTCTTTGTCTCCCATGGCCAAAATACGCTTCCCTCTCACGAAACCTAACGATTCCACACGTCATTAATCCTGGCTTTTGAACTTGGGAATCGTCAGAGTCAGCTCCAACTCAGCGGGTAGGCAGTTCTGGTTTGAACTTTGAATAATCTCAAAATAGCCCAATTTCTTATCCTTTTTTTTTTTTGGCATTGTATAATGAAATGTTTTTTTTTTGGTGTATCAATGGGGAGAGGGCCCTTAATCTTGATCAGAGTTGAGCTTAGAACATAGCGTTGTCATTCGTGGCTAACCAATTAAGCCTAGGCTCTTTTTGTGTAATGATCTAACTTAAGAATCGTTTTAACTTGATATGTTGATAATGAATGAGTCCCTCAGCGATTCAATGCCCGATTACAATTTTTGAAACCTGGATCTTAGTCGTATGTCATACGAAAGAAAGGTAGAAGAAAGTCATGGTTTACACTGGAAAATCTAGTCGAGAAAGCCTAAGAAAGCATGCTAGTCGAAGTGAGTACAACAAAAAATATTATCATTTTGTTATTCAATGTGGATTTTATAATTGGATTGTCTATAAAGAGACCGTTTATCTTTTATACATGGAGGTCACAATCATTTCCACTCATTAGATGTTAAATTGGATGGTTTGAGTTACGTTACAAAGTCCGAGATTTTTTTTTTTTTTTGAAACTTTATGTTTATTCAATGACACTTTTACAATTATTGATTTTGAAATTCAAAAGACAATAATGATTGTGACCTCCATGTATAAAAAAATAAATGATCTTTTTGTAAGCAATCAAAATAATTAACACTATGTAAATTTGTAATTTTTCAACAATAATATATCAAAGTTCAACGAATAAAAAAAACAATATATCCTCATTTTATAAGGTATTATTATTATCAATTCAAGTGTATGTGCCTCTTCAAATTTAGTAATAAGTAGTAAGGGTGGTAATGGACCCGATCAGACTCGAGACCAAATAGGTAGACCCGACCTTGGGTTTGGGTATGTGTTTAAATTTTGGATCTGAAAAATTGGGACCTTAATACTATTCCAGTCCGGATCCGAGTCCAACTGAATTGGACCCGATGCCATCCCTAATAAATAGCTATAAAATTGCTGATGTTCACGTGCTTTTCCATTCAATAATTTCAAATTCAAATGTATGTGGTTCAGGTTTGTACTGGTGCTGGTTCTCGCACCGATTTTAAAAGAAATTTGATTGAAAAAAAAAAACAATATTAATATAATTTTTTATTTATATTAATTGGCAGAATTAAGCTTAAGCTTGTCCCACTTTTGTAATTTTATAAAAGAGCGAGAGTAATTATGTCATTCTCTCTCCTAGTGATTGTTTCCAACAACAAAATCGATACGGAATTTCAAGCCATGCGAGATAGGCGTTGACAACATCAGTTGATTAAGCAACAAGTTAGAGAGAGAGAAAATAAAAAATCGCGGGAGTGAGACAGCGCTTATAAAACCGAGCGAGAGAGAAGGGAAGAGAGAGAAAGTGGCTGCTTACAACGTGGAAGAGATCGTATAAAATTGAGGCAGAAGAGAGAGAAAGCGGAACGGCTTATTAACTCGAGCTGGAGGAGAAGTTTATAAAATTGAAAGACGAAGAGAGAGAAATGGAGCTTATCAAATCGCTCAGTTGTTAGAGAGAGATAGGGAGAATGCTCATGTGTTAGAGAGAATTGCTCATGTTAGAGAGAAAGAGAGAATTGCTCAGGTGATAGAGAGAGAATCGCTCAGGTGAGAGAGAGAGCCATTTTGGATGCCTTCGGTCTCCTGAATTAAGAGTTGTTTATAATCTTATAGCATTAACATACTGTATTTTGCGGCTTCTTCGAGGAAAAAAATGGTGGATCTGGGGTGGTTGATAAGAGAGGTTTATCGTGTTAAGGGGGGCAATGGCGGTGATTTCTGCTTTTTGCAGAAGCCGGTGGAGAGAGTGATGGGGCCGTGGCGTTGATGCCATAGCTTTCCTATGTGTGTGTGAGAGAGAGAGCTTTTGCAGAGGAGCTGAGCAAGTTGTAATGGCGCACGCACCTTGGTCTCAGAGGCGTCGCCCTAGCGTTCGAGCTGTTGTTATGCCCGCCATCCCTACTCTGTCTTTCCTCTGTGTCCTTGTTCTCATCATGTTGGTTCTCTTCTCTCTCTTTGCTGGTTTCATCAATCTGGAACGACTTCCCCATTCATCTTCTCTCCAGAACTCTCTGGTAATTCACAATCCCTCTCTCTCTCTCTCTCTCTCTCTCTCCTCCCTACCCTAACCCCTAAAACCCTAACCTAACCTTACCTTACTACTATTATTACTTTTCCGTCTACTTACGTACG